GACGTTGCGAGTTTGCGAGAGAAAAATTCTGCGAAAGATTTATGGTCCTTTTTGGCCACGGCGAATATCGCATTCGATGGAACAATGAGCTGTACGAGATATATGGCGACATTGACATAGTTCAGCGAATTAAAAGACAGCGGCTACGCTGGCTAGGTCATGTTGTCCGAATGGACGAAAACACTCCAGTTCTGAAAGTATTSGACGCAGTACCCGCCGGGKKAAGCAGAGGAAGAGGAATACCTCCACTCCGTTGGAAGGACCAAGTGGGGAAGGACCTGGCTTCACTTGGAATATCTAATTGGCGCCACGTAGTGAAAAGAAGAAACGACTGGCGTGCGGTCGTTAACTCGGCTATAATCGCGTAAGCGGTGACTACGACAATTAAGAAGAAGAGTGAGAGAGTAATGACTCCTTTCCATATGAAAAATGTTCAGAAACAGATATATTCATTGGAAGTGAGTGAACAAAAAAACATTGCACTTATTCATTTAAAATCAGAAGAAAAAAGCATGATTAGAATTCTATAAAGCCAATTCAACAAATTATTTTCAAAGATGTTGATAATCTGATCAACGCAAAAAACAGGGTGGTTGATGAAAGCCGCTACCAAAAAAAATTAAATAACTTATTTTCTATCTAATGAATCTGTTTTTTTAATTTTATTTTGCAGATTGGCTTTCACATTTAACAAAAATGGATAACTGGGACACTGAAACAAGAATTTGGATTGTCCGCCGCACTGGAGTCCGTAGTTTCGGTTCAAAGAGAGTATAGGCGCACGTTTGGCGGCAATCCTCCGAGCAGATGGACCATAATGTGATTTGTAAACAAGTTTGCCAAGCATGGGACCTTAAAACCCTTCAGTTCGAACGAAGAAAACAATCGCTGCTGTAGCTGCTACCATACAAAACAATCCACGTGTTTCGACAGGAAGCTTATCTGCTCAAATGGATGTAAGTAGACAGTCATTACAGTAAATTATGCACAAAGATTTGGACTTATTCCCATATAAAATTCAAATGGCCAACAAACTGAACGCTGCAGACTTGCCGATTCGCTTGGAATTTCGCCAAAAGATGCTTCAAATGGTGGAAGAGGATGGAAACATGTTGAACTGTCTTTTCATVTMKGACGAGGCCCATTTCGATTTAAACGGCAACATAAACAAACAAAATTGTCGAATAGGGAGTGCTTCCAACCCACAGATACTCCATGAGACGGAATTGCATCCGCTTCGTGTCACAATGTGACATGCAATTTCATCACGCTGCATTGTCAGGCCCTACTTCCTCGAAGAAAACGGTCACACCGTTACGGTTACTGGAGACCGTTACTTGAGCATGTTGAGGGATTTTTTTTATCCAGAATTACGCCGAATGAGAATTTCTTTCAACTCTGTGTGGTTTCAGCAAGATGGTGCAGCTCCTCCCAATAAGTTGATATCCAGAAACTCCACATTCCGTTGGCCACCCAGGTCGCCTGACCTTACTGCACCTGACTTTTTCTTGTGGGGTTATTGCAAACAGGAAGTCTATAAAGCAAAACCAACAAATTTGAATGAACTAAGGCAATCAATTCGAGAAACAATTTCGGCTATTCCTGTCTCAACTATCCAAGCAGTAATGGATAACTTTTTGGTAAGATGCCGCACATGCATCAACGAGCAGGGGGGCATTTAAATTCCATTATTTTTAAAACTAATTAAGCTATATTTAATAAAATTGATTGAGCTTTAACATGAATAAAAGAAAAATGAACTCCATACACTGAAAAAAAAATTATTTGAGTTTCTTAATGTAGCAAAATTCATCAGCCACCCTGTACATGAGATTAAGACCACAATCAATCATCAAATAATTTCAAGAATTTATAGACTACATCCAAAGCACGAAGAAGAGGTAAGAAAGCAAATTTATGAGCTAGAAAGTCAGGGAATAATCCGAAAAAGTGGGGGCTGATATGGCTCACCTATTTTAATTGTACCAAAGAAAACAGAGGGTTCAAATATTGAAAAATATAGATTAGTGGTTGAATATATGATAATAAATACTCTCTGCCAAACATTGACGGGATTTTGGATTAATTGGTCAAAACAGATTTTAAATTTAGAGCCATTGATTTAGCCAAAGGTCACCAAAAATTAATGGCAGAAAGAGACATCGGAAAACAGCTTTTGTTACTCCGACAGGACAGGTATGAGTACGTCCGAATGCCTTTTGGGCTTAAAAATTGCCCCAGCGACATTCCAAAAAAATATGAATGAGATTCTAAAAGAATTCATAAAAAAAATTTGTGTTGTCTATCTGGATGATATTTTGGTCTTTTCCACGTCCCACGGAAGAGCAAATTCTAACACTTGAAAAAATTTTCGCTTTTAATGAATCACAATTTAAAAATTCAAGCAAGCAAATTTAGCTTTCTAAAACAGGAAACGACATTTTTAGGGCATACGTTAACTCCCTCTTTTTTAAACGTAATACAGAAAATTTTGGCAATAAAAGAGTTAGAACTTTCGAAAGCAGAGAGATAACTTAAAGGTTTTTTGGGAGCTACAGGGTATTATAGGAAATCCATAAAGACTCTTCGAAAGCAGTACGCTAAAATACTTAAAAAAGGTTCTAAAGTAAATCCAAGACATTCGCAGTACATAGCTAGTTTTGAACATTTTAAAACACTAATTTCATCACATCTAATTTTAAGGTTCCCTGAATATGGCAAAGAGTTTACTATCACAACTTATGCAAGTGATTATCCAATAGGAGCAGTGCTTTCTCAATAAGATCAGCCAGTATACCACTTTTCCAGAACATTAAATAACCTTGAACAGAAATATGCTACAACAGATAAAGAATTTTTAGGCATTATACATATATTCAATAACCTACTATATTTCAGGGGCCAGTCCGCATAAGCAGGTTGGAGTTATCTCCAAGGGCTCCTGCTCCAAGTGGTACCAGAATTAAGTCCCCGGTCAGACTTCGTAGCCGAAACTACTTCCAGTTGAGCTTTAATACTGCTCAGGACTGGTGGCCAATAAAGAAGGTGGGGTTGGACCCCACTGAGACACAAAATATAAACCACACAACACACAACATTCATACTAAAAAACTAATCCTAATTCACAGTTAAACGCCTTCGCAGCTTAAACAATTCACGCGCATACAACCCTAACAATTCGGTATGCCGACTAGTGGAGGTCACACCACTAACATCTAAGTGCCCATTCATCCAGCTAATTCCCATATCACCCAAATCCCTAATGTCCGAGTACATCGGGCACTCCGCAATTAAATGCGACCAATTTTCCGACCCCGCCCCACAAAAACACCCCGACGAATCCGATAGGTGCCTCTGATGCAAAAATGCACCCGGTTGCAATGCAACTCCACATTCAACTGACGAAGTCAGTTCTTCCCGCAGTTGGGTTTTAACCACAACCACCACGATACTCCTCGAGGGGCCAGTCCGCATGAGCAGGTTGGAGTTACCTGCAAGGGTTCCTGCTCCCCGTGGTACCAKAATTAAGTCTCCGGTCAGACCTCGTAGCCGAAACTACTACCAGTTGAGCTTCCATACKGCTCTGGACTGGTGGCCAGGGATTGGACCCCATACGTACATCACATACACACACCAATCATACAAATCTAACTCTTCGGTATTCCGACTAGTGGAGATCACACCACTAACATCTAACTGTCCATCAGTCCAGCTAATCCTCCCACCATACAGGGGCTCCATATGTGGCACAGGCCACAAACAAGCCCCGATATATGGTGCGGACAGCACGGCGTCCGCGACATTAATCGCTCTTCAAAATGCGGCGTATTTTGCCTACGGTTGTCTGCAGTCGCTCCTTCACATACGCCAAGTGTGGAGTAAAACACATCCTTTCACTCATGGTCAATCCCAGATATTTGACTTGCGTCACATATCTGATGCTGGCCCCATTCACACGGACAATCTGCCCTTAAGCAGCATTATCACCGTTTTTCCCTTGATATGTCCACCTCCACATCTACACCCCAAGTATTAACGATCTCTAAGAGATCTCCTCCCGCCCGTTCTAACTCAGACCGCGAGCGACCTTCGACCATAAGAAGAAGGTCGTCCGAATACGCACAACACTTACAGAGGGGCTCGAGCTGCCCAAGCAGAGTGTCCATCATAAGGTTCCAAATATATGGACCGCAGATGGAACCCTGCGGGCAGCCACGAACCACTCCAAGCTCCACACTCCCATTCATGCCGACAAGAGAGGCCTTTCTGTCCAAAAAAAAACTCCGCCAAAGAGTAATTTCCGGACAGCCAAGCTCCTCCAGCCGTTGCACCACTCGATCCCAGCTTAGGTAGTCAAACGCCCCCTTGAAGTCAATAAATATGCCAAGGACATACTTGTTGACATTCTCCCTAACGACGTCCTGAACATAAAACCAAGCATCCTCTATACTGCGTCCCTTTTACCACGACCGACCAGGTCTATATAGGCTTCGGCATCACCGGTGCAATTGCTTCAAGCACAGGCGCTGGAGGCGTCGAGGAGTGTCTCCCACAACTTCCCCTAAGGGCATCAACCTGACCGCGAAGATGGGCATTCTCGGTTATTACCGTCATCAAGAGCGCCTCATATTTTGAGGCAATCTCCAACAGTCCCTTCGCAGTCCCTACATCAAAATTCTTGGCTTCAAAGACCAGCTCATTGAGCTCCCCAGTTATTCTTTTGGCAGCCGCAACATGGCTGACTGCTCCACCCAACAAAAACAGCCCCCCGTGAAACATCCCGCGTTCCCTCTTTTTTGGCACTCGAGACGCGAGTGCCCGCTTTCGCAGCGCCCTCCTTCCCGACGCCTTTGACCACCACGATAACCGGATGGACTTTCACAGCGGCGGCGACGCTTCCCCTCCCGCTCTCTCCCTAATTACGCGGCGACCCCGCACGCGAAACCGCTTTCTCAGCGGTGGCCATTTTGGCACTCCCGCCACAACTACCGCTCCCTCCCTTACCCCCGTCGTCTAGACGTGGCGCCCCAAACGCGCCTTACTACGCGGTGGAGACCTTACCGCTACCGTCATCTCCCCTTCACCACCCGACGTAGAGTCGTCCACGACTATAGAAGCGGCAGAATCTCTGCTTCCAGCGAGGGTCTTCGTCCTCCTCTTCCGTCCAGGAGGCATCTCACTTTCCGACTCACCCTTCAGTCGAACTGATCCGCTGGCGTACCACTAGCGTAGAAAGCTCTTGGCCAGAAAGATTCTGGAGCAGCTGCTCTCCAGATGCGAGCGTCTGAACGCGCTGAAAAGTGCGACCCACGCGAAGGCCCGCTCAATAAAAGTGACCACCCAAGCGGTCGATTATAGCGCGCTCGCAGTGGCACAGCCCACAACCCCAACCACTCAATTGGACACCGGACGGACAATGTCCCCGTAAGGGTCCGGAGTCGACCGATGTGGCGCTGAGCCGAATCGCACAGTGGGCTAAACGGTTCGCTTTTACGACCGTTGGTCCTCGCAGCAGTCGCAATCCCCAACGCTGGACAGACGCTTGCACCCTTTGGGCAATCCTGTCCAGATCTTCCACACACTGAGCCAACTAAGCGCCAGATGCTCAGCACAGATCTACTGTCAGGCAGTCCAGTCAGCAAGAACGCCAACAACACGGTGCTGCACTGTATGCGCTCCTTAATCGTACCCAAGTGTGGAGTAAAACACATTGGGCGAGTTCCAAGTTGCATGTTGCTTTGTATTTGTACAAAGTATCGAGTTCCTGAATGCAACCTGCTTATAATATGCAATGTATCGAGTTCCGATTAACATTTTATGCGTTATCGATACGCATAAATCAAGCATATGACGCATCAGAAATTTTGATTACGCTCAAACAAAACATAATGGCTGAAGAAGAAAGGTAAGAATAAAAATCTGTAAATATTGAAATTTGTGATTAAATTAGATGATATTCTTATTTAAATATCTTTTTCCTCCTTTTTAGTGATAAAAAGTGGACGCATGAAAGGAAGCTTTTGCTTTTAAATAAAAGGCTGTCCAATGAAGTTGATTTTTGCGCCAAAAGGAAAAAGAAGTCCGTCCTTTGGGAAAAGGTGCTCCGTGAAATTAAGGGAGTAGATGCAGAGTTTCCTTTTTCATGGGATGACATAACCAGAAAGTTTAAATAAAACGTCTGGAGAGGCTAAAACGTGGGAGTTTTTTGATCAAATGGACGAAATTTATGGAACCAGGACCGACATCGTTGTACCAGAGGAACTTTTGGATTCATCTTTAAGTGACATATTATCTGGTATAAATGATCACATCGCAGATGACGCTAATAGTGACACAGATAAAGAACCCCCACGAAAACGGGCTCGATGCGATGTTTTGGACTTCTTTCGCGCTGAAAGCCAAGAAGATAAAAAGTTTTTGAGGGAATTTTTGGACTGTGAAAAAGAAAAGCTAAAAGTGGAACGGGAAAAGGTTGAAGAGATGAAGAAGCTGCGTGAGGTTTTGTCCAACATTCGTAATTAAAACGCTGATAAATTGGTCATTAAAAGTAGTACGTGTAAAACGTAATAATAATTATATTATTTCATACAATGTGCTATTTTTTAATACCAATTAAAAGACAAGTTTTCTACAATAAAAATGTTTTTATTGCGTTCTTCAAGCAGAAAATAATGTAGTTAACCAATTTCTTTTATCACTTGCTGCAACCAAATATTGTTGTGCATTAAGGGACATATGAAAATGTTCGCTTTTATCGTACACTATTTCGAAAGGCTTTCCATTGTTAATTATAAAGTTATGGAGTACCAAACATGACATTATTACTTGTTTACCCACTTTGGGGTTTTGTACATCAACATAGTTTAAAATACGGAACTTGGTTTTCAAAATACCGAAAGCTTGTTCCACACACACTCTTGTGGAAGCTAAAACATTGTTGAATATAATTTGTGGAGGTGTTAAAAATTTATTGTCCTTATATGGAGCCATAAAATATGTTTCCAAAGGGTAAGCCCCATCACCCAAAAGGTGACATTCCGGTGGAAAGGGAATATTATTGTTGACAATTGCCCTTTTAAGTGGACTGTTCTGCCATACTAAAGCACCGTGGCATCGGCCGGGGTATCCCACACTGCGTCGGTGAATCGCAGTTCTCTATCAGCCACAGCCTATATAATGAATTAATCATTATATTAGTTTTGCTTTTAATGTGGATATTTGATTTATGATACCTGCAGAACAATTGAGCTTGTGCCCTTTCTGTTATAATAACTTGTTGAAGGTTGTGGAATACGAATATGGGTCCCGTCGACACAACCCAAAACAAAAGGAAAGGGATGTGCTCTGCTTGCCTCGAATAGCTCCATTGTTTTCCTTTGTGAAATTTCCGTAGACGGGAACTTGATGAGCTGTCTTTTGAGATTAGCCACGAGCCTTGTTGTTTTAATGAAAACTCTATAGCTCTTTCCGGCCTATAGCAAATCAACTTAATAAAATTTGTTTCTCTTTTAAGTCCTATTACTTTGGCCATTGTAGATATTAACCAATACGTTTGTTTTTGAAATTTTCAGTTTATCCTTTATTTCTAGGATACGCACAATTGTTGCGTTTCGGCCTGATTTCAAATAAAAAAAATGTGCATATATAACTCGAAATGTTCTTTAATTCATTTTTATTCATAACACAATTTTGTCTTTTATTTAAACATAAATAAATTTGACATTTGGAACAAAATGTGCGTGTCCGAGATGTACAACTAACAAGCCTACAGCATCTTGCGGATGACAAATCATGCTCAATTGGCCAGTGGTTGAACCGATCAAGCCTCTTATCATTGCATGGCTGGGAAGATGGACGATATCTTTTCGCAAAACCTTGAGTCTTCTTCCTCGGTGTCGGATTCATACTCAGCATGTGTCCTTTTCTCAATAGCGATCAGTTGTTCAGCTAAAGCTAATTTAAAACATAACATGTCATGAGAATCTGCCAGAGATTTCGAGTTTATTTTGCTATGATCTCTATATTGTAGCCAAGCGTTACAGCAAACAAGATCAATGAAGTGTATGAAAACTTTCAAAGTCCATTTCCGCGTCTTGAAAAATGAGCGATATGTATCCATTAACTGATCACAAATATCCACGCCTCCCATCGATTTGTTGTATTCTCTTACTATCCTTGGGGCTGGAACTTCAACATACCTTTTTTCTTTTTTTTCCCAGCGTTTAACATTGGAAACCGGTCCACAACCATAAGCTGATGATGCCAGGATTACCGCTTTAGAATCTTTCCACTGCACCACGACAATATTGTCTTCGCTACGACAAAGTTCTTCCATATCGCCCCTTTTCATTTGTTTTTCATTGGTGAGGTGGATATTTTTTATTCTGTTTCTCATTATTATCCCAGGGGCATAAATACCACGACTTAAAAGTGTCTGAAGAAGCGGTATTGTCGTAAAGTAGCGGCCAAAAAAAACTTTTGAACCTTCTGGCAGTGTTTCAACCAAACGCAAAACGTAGGCTAGTCCTAGACCCAAGTTCTTATTCGAAAGTGGTGTCGTCTTTACTTGATAGATTTCAAAATCAAGCACCAGACCTTCAGATGTTGTTAAGGCTTCATTCTTCAATCCCACTCCTCTTGGTTTGTTAGGGAGACTTTGTCGAACAGGACAACGGCCAGTGAATGTAATCATTTGTTCGTCTATAGAATAATTATCGCCTGGCTATATATCAAAAGGGCTTTTCCTCCAAATATCACGGCGATTGTCGTTTTCAGTGACATTTTGTGGTGTCTCCGTAGTGTTAGTTTAGTAATCATCTTCCTCACTTTGATCGTCTAAAGTTTCATCTCCCACAGAAGGTAGTTCCCAAGTCGCATCCACAAGCTCGTAATCGCTACTAAATTCTTCTACATCCGACTCCAATAGTGCACTAAGTATTTCGTCTTCAGTGAATTGCTCCAAATGAAAAAACAGATCATATTCATATTTCGTTAAATAAGTCCTGAAAAAAAAAAACTGCCAAATTCTTGGTCACACCAAAAAACGTTGTAATAAACCCCCTGTATGTGACACATGTGCTTTGCCACCCCACCCTCCACCATGCACCC